TGACAGCAGCAGGTACAATACCTTGTTGTGTTGTCTGGCTTGTTGTCCTTGCAAGTTGATTCACACCCAACAATCATTGGCTCAATATGGCTCATGACAGCACGGTTGTTGCAGCCTGCGGCTATAAATTTATTCCTGTTCTTGGAGAATATGAAAGGACTTCCTGTCAAATTCACAGCTACACCTGCAGTCCTACCAGAACAACTTGTGGAGATTATCGGACTGTTAACATGAACGTAGCTGCGATCAAGCGAGATATTCAGCACCTCCATTTTTATGCTGGTTAGGATAGTTTTTGGAGGGCTGGAAGTTTCATTGCAGAAGACCTCAAACCCTTTGTTCATGTAGCAGTCTGCTCCAATTCCAAAGGGGTATGGAATGCTGACATCTCCACACGAGTCTTGACACCCGGATTTCACCAGAGTTAGGCCTACCGCTGTTTCGATCCTTAGCAGTAATAACAACGCAAAGACTAATGTTGCGATGTTCATCGTTCTTTTGTTCCTGGCTGATCGAAAAAAGAAAAAAAAAAAAACAATCCTTTTGTTCCTGAGATGCATATCATCATTCCTCAGATTTGATATTTAGGTAACGTAGGATGTTTCTATACCTGTTTTGGGTAGGCTGATGGCCGAACCCCTGAAGTTGAAAGGAATAATGACTTGCTTAAAAGAATAAACAACTAAACATCCTCTATCCTAATAATCAATGTTACTATTCACCTGTATCATACTGTTTAGCAATTCATGAACTATATATATATATATATTACAGTCAAAGAGATCATTTAGGGAATTAGAAGGGGCACTCCAACGCAGTTATCAAGCACAAAACCTATACCAGCCATCATTCATAAAATTAAACTTGTACCAGTGAAATCGAGCTCAAAAATGATCTGCACCAGAGAGTTCAAGCTCAAGAAATGACCTGCACCAGAAAATATTGGTTGCTGACCCATGTTAGAAAATGTTTTTAGCTTCCTTTTTTTTTTATTTTTGGGGGGGGCGGGGTTTCAACTAAGGATGCAGCGGGGAAAATGCAGCGTCTCCTACACCATCGGCTACAACAAAGATCTGTGCTCCACTGTCAAAAGGCCAGTTAACTTAACAAATAAATGGCCAAAATGTCAACAATAAAGGCCAACATCACCCAACGAACTTCCTGCAACTCCCAACTGTTAATTCTTTTCATTTAATGCCCTTTAGCCAATAAATATGTTCTTTTCATTATAAAAGAAGAGTTGAGCTTTAATGGAAATTTTAGTTTTACAGTGTGTGTTTGTGATAAATTTTTTTAATTTTAATTTTTTATCTTAGGTGTTGTCAGTATAAATAATATTTATTTGTTTTTGTATTATAAATCTTGCCAATTTGTAGCAATTTTTAACTAAAAACACTATTGTGGGGTTGAATTTTTTTGGAAGCATCCTTGGTCAAAGTTTTGCATGTATTCAAAGGGATTCTTAATCTTGATTTAACTAAGGATGCTTCCAAATTAATCAATAATCAAGATTAATAATAAGCTATCGGGACAATAAATAAATAAATAAACCTATACTATTATTGACAATTAATCAAGAGTATTATTAATTTAATTGAAACTTTTTATCAAATGAGAAAAAATTCATGTGATTCACAAATTATTATTAATAATAAGTGTAATGGGAGTTTCTCAAATTGGTAGCTTTTATTTTAGAAAAATATAATTTCTGCAACCCAGGTTTGTTCAGCTGGGAATCTTGAGTTCTAGGACTCCCACATGCATTCAATGTGCTCGCCCAAATTACAAACAAGATTTTGTAAACACACGGTAACTGCATTAGGTTCTACTTCTACACGTACCTAAGAAAACAGAGCAACCCAGACAATCCATTTGCGAAACAAAGAGCCCCGAATTTATGTCAACCAGAGAACCAAAAACAAAACCAAATACTCATTTTACAGATTTTGGAGCTTTGTGCTTTTCTCCAGTGTTTCTAAACTCAAACCGATAGTCAACTGTTTTGACTTCTGTTTTCAGTCAGATTAATTGAACCACCACCTAACTAGATAATGTCATAATTTTTTTATAAATTATATATAATAAATATAATTTTTTGCTTAGTAAACATAACAATGCCTACAGGCTAAATGATTTTGGAGCTCTGTGCTTTTCTCCAATGTTTCTAAACTCAAACCGATAGTCAACTGTTTTGACTTCTGTTTTCAGTCAGATTAATTGAACCACCACCTAACTAGGTAATATCATAATTTTTTTATAAATTATATATAATAAATATAATTTTTTGCTTAGTAAACATAACAATGCCTACAGGCTAAATGATTGGCACACTCTTATGCATTTAATTTAAAACGAATTCGAATCTTGATGAGATAGAAAGTCTACTATATCTCATGTATACTACATCAGCAATATTATCAATCAATCACAACATGTTATATTACGAAATGCTATAATTGACCAAAAATGCAAACATAATATTCTTAAGATATAGTAGACTTTCTCTTTAATAGATTATTTTTAAACATATTACTATGTCGAGCTTTCCTTCTCAAAAATCAACGGTCAATTTGCGAGTCAACTTGCAAAAACAGCACTCTCCTAAAATATAATAAATATATATTCTATGCAAGTCATGTTACCAGAAGCCTTGCACCTTACTACTTGATCTGGGATTATAAGGCTGTGTTTCAATCTTGGCAATGTCCTCCTTCATTCTCTTCCTAAAAACAAGAACCGATCAGTTCACCAGTTCACACCAATTTTAAGTCTTTAACCAAGTCAACTGCATAAATGGTTCTATATTTCTAACTAAACCAAATTTATGACCAGTCACCAATCCGCCCAATTCAACCAGCTCGACCAGCCAATCCGGTCCAGGATTAAAAACACTGCTTTTCTCCTGTTATGCTAGATTTTCCTTGCATAACAATTTGCATGATAACCCATGACAGCTCCAGACAACCCACCCGCTGTGGTTCATTCTGATTTGTAAACGGACAGCTGCGGGAAAGACATCATCGAATTTCACTGCTGCATAAAATCACTTGATAGTGATTACCTAACATTAGCCAATGGAATGTCTAACATCATTTTATTATAAAAATCGGATACTTCAAATATAAATTAAAAGCATCATTAGTTCAAATGCTAATGCACACTCTTCTGCTATTGTCACCTAAATGAGAACTGCATTGCTGTTTAAGGTAGTACTAGCAGTGTTGCAGAAGGCGCTATGTGCTTAGGGGTTGCTAGCTAGCTGTTGTAGGTGTTTTTATTTTTCTGAAAAAATGCCAAAATAAAACAGAAAAATCTAACAAATAAAAGAAACGCCTAGCTCTACTGCCACTTAGGCGCTCTTTTTGCAACACGGTGGGAGTAAAATGTATGATGGTCGCCTTCATTCAAATAATTTTTGGGCCACTGGAAATGTGGGAGCTGTATCCATGGGCACCTGCAAGATAATAAATAAAGATAAAAACAATTTAGTAGTAATTTCCAAGTCCTGTACAGATAGAGAAAATCCCAAGCCACAATCCAAAACTCAACATAGATGGCTTCTACCAAAATATGGGTGCAGTAGTAAACCATTTATTTTTCAAATTACCCCAAATAAATTCCATTTTACACAGAAAATATGTAAACACTTCTAATTATTGGAATTAAGATTGCTTTGTTATATAATACTTTAATATTTTCAATTCCTTCACATAAGCCAACTCCAATATCAATATTATGCATTCTCTTTGTGATCATCTCACTTTCAAAAGTTAACCAAATAAAATCACTCAAGTAAATGAAATGATTTACTTAAAATGTTACATATATAAGTCAAGACAGTTTCATCTGTCCCAAACTCATATCTGTTTAGAAAAACCGCTTAATTCCTTCTCAACACAAAATTCCTATAAATAAGTTATCTTATAGTGATTAAACTAGTTCTAAATGAGTATACGTATGCATCAGCAGATGCAAGAATACCGCAGCACATACCTCAGTGCATTCTAATTTTTGCAATGCAACTTTTAATGGAGTTGTAATCACACAGTGCTTCTGAAGAAGCAAGCTTGCAGCTTCCTTGTCCCCCTGTGGCTGTATCGTTAGTATCTTCCTCCTCAAGCTTTCAACCACTTCTTCAACCTTTCAAATAACAAAGCTTATTGGCAGCAGTTTTTCAGGAAACAAATTCATAGGAGAGTTAATCTAGAGCTAACGTACCTTATCAAAATCAAGAAAATGTATCATCCGGATGCAAAGTGAGGGCTTTTTTCTCAAATAACCAATTAAATTGCAAGGCCTGTCCTTTCCTGACAATATCAGTAAATAGAGAACAGTCAGCATTAATAACATAATTTATCAACAGCAGATGAATAGCGAGCTTACCCATGAGCTTCCTCCAAGCCAAATCATACTGAGCGGAAACATCCCGCAAGGAAAGAAACATACATGGATTTTACCGAACTTTTTGGAAGCAAATCCTGACCAAGAAAATTAAATGCAAAGAGAGATCCTATGAAACAAAGCCATGGGTAGGTTCCACATATAAGAACTAATGCACAAGCAACACAACTATATATAATATTATAATCTATCCATGCATAATATGGAACAAACATTCCCAAACTCTAGATACCTTACGTTGTCCTGAATTTGTTATCAAAAAGAATATAAAGACGCACGTTTGGAAGTTGAATTCTATACCTCCTTGCTTGCAAATAAAAATTTGACAGAAACTTTAACTATCTCAAATCAATTAGGGGGGAACTATGTTTGAAATTAAACTGATCCAAAGCATTACAAAGAATGAAGCAGGAAAGTAATGTAACTGATCTGGTTGCATATGATGGGTATAGTTTCTCCATTTTGTGTCATAAAGAAATTGGTATTCTTATAAGTAATTATCAAAAGTAGGTATGTTAAAATAATTCTTTTGATTATCAAAGTAGTTGTTCCATCTACTAAACTAAATGGAAAATAACATTTTTTGGTTGACTTTCTGTGATGCCATCATTTCAATGCTAACAATTAAGCTCCTCTCTTTTAAGTTAACCATCCTGTCAATTTGCCTTACATAATGGGCACAAAGAACTAAGAAATTTGATGACATGTTACATATATAAGTTAAAATTGTTGACAAACAAAATGAAAGCTTAAAAGTTGCAGAAGGATAGCAAGAAATGACATGGGCAGTAAGAATCCTTACCCTGTTGATAATTGACTAGAAAAATAATAAAGAATTAGCTAATGCAAAAACCATTATCTA